GCCTGGAAGCAGACTGGGGGGGGGGAGGAATCTGGCTATTACAAATTGTGTAGAGATTTACTTCTAGAGATCACTGGTTCCCAACCTTTCTAGAGTCACAAGGCCTTTTATAATAGCCAAGTACCCTGAAACCTCACCACCACCATATTTGAATAAAAAAGCATTTTTAATGGGGTAAGGTCATAACTTCTGAGAAAGTAGAAGCTTCTTTCTCCCCCTCAAAGGGCCTGTTTCTCATACAAACCCATAGGCACTATCTTTAACATCCCTCGCTGAAAGATAAAGGAAGAAATAATTTACCAAGTGCTACCACACACACGAGGTGACCCACGACCCCTCAAAAAACGCTTTGCGACCCCCAGGTTGGGAAATGCTGTCCTAGATCTTTGTCTGTCCCCCCCCCCCTCATTTTTGCTGTGTCTTAATTGCTCAGTTTTGCCACAGAAGTGGGCTTGGAACCAAAGCTTGGGTATTACGATACACATCTCTCTGAACAACCGTTTCTGACTTATAAGGTGTGTGCTTTACAAAGTCTTAGGTACACACTTAAAACAATTGCAGGAATAGGGCAGAAGCACAGCCCCTCCTGTAGAAAGTCGGTGTCGCTCCCTACCGTCACAGTGGGTCCCGAAACTCTTTTATATCAGAAGATAAATTAAGAACCAAAAAAGTATCAGGAACATTTGACAATGGGAATTGCTAATGATGATGACTCGTTCAGTACAAAACAGTCTGCTGGCAGGAAAGGTTAAGGCAACCAAAAATAACTATTTAAGTGTTGCAACTTCCAAACTGAAATGCCTACCAAGGCTCCTTTTTCAAATAAAGCTTTGAAAAGAATAAGCCAGGCGTTCCTCTCTTCATCTTGTGTGAGAGAAAATTTCAGAAGAGGAGTGTCATTGCAGAAAATGCCTTGTCACTTGTCATCAGCTGTGTTTTTTGGAGGCTGAAGAATTTGGGTGCAGGGCGGTCTCGGTCTGTCCCATTCCTTCACATGAAATGTCTTGAGTATTTCTTATTGCCATTATTGATTGAGGTCTTTGCTGGGTCTGAGAAGTGGGATGGGGTGAGTTGCCTTCAGAAAATAATTACCAGCTCCCCTATGCACGGATCTCCTCCTGGTTTGCTATGGGAGGTATTTTGACTGAGCCTCCCAAATCTGAGCCGGCTGGAGCTTTTTTGATTCGTAAAAGTCGCTGTATTGGAAAACCTAAATGGTAGTAACTTTTTCCCCTTTTTTTGCTCTCGTGTCCATGAGATTTGGAGACTGTAAAGAAGGGGATTAAGCCTGCCCAGTGGCACCTTTTGACCGGAGGTGGCATTTCTGTGACTGAAACGACAAGGGTCAGTGAGAAGACCTTGCCCCACAGTGCAGATGCTCAGGGAGGTGCATCGTTGTTAGTAAGGGGGGGGGAGAGGGAACAACGACAACCCGGTAAGGAAGGTTTGGGAATTTGAGTGCAAGGACCAAGGAATCCAATGGTAGACAAGACGACCGAAAATGTCAGAGTGGAGATGAGTTCCATATGGTGTTTTGGATACCTTGCTTCCAAGTTTCAGAGAGGTGCTTGTTCCCTTTTTCATGGAGTAGAAGCAAAATGGGGGGGGGGGAATATTGGGGACTCTTGCAACCCTGTGCAGCTGCTTACATTGGGTGTGGTTCTCCCCCCCCCAGTGGCAGGAATGGATGGGGGGGATAGGTGGAAATTTTTAGTATGGGGAACAAATTTTTTTTGTCCTATTCAGGCTTCGCCGGCTAGAGATTGGGAGACCTTGGCGGTGAGGGGAGGGGGGGGAAACCTAGCCAGCAAGAATGAGAAAACTGAACAGACTCTGCATGGCCCCCCTCCTTCCCCACAGCGCTGAGGGGGGGGAACGTCTGTGATTGATGAGTCGGAGGTGGTGGGGAGGTCAAGCAGGGGGAGACACGGGTCAGTGAAAAAGAGAATAGCAGGAGGGAGCATCCAGTGGAACCTGACTCTCTTAAAGCATGCAAGCCAAGACGAGCGCATGAAAATTGGGCATAGAGTTTCCTTCGTCCTTACAGTTTCCCCACAGCTGGTGTCTCCAGCTTGCTTGTTGTTAGTTGAAACTTGTGGGCAATGAACGAGGGGGCCACGAATCTGATGGGGCGGTTCTTGCCTCCAGAGAGATGGGGGTTGTTTTTTTTTTTTTTTTGAGGGGTGGGTGAGAGGATTGTTTTTGTGCATTAAATAGTTTCTGTGCATTCAATTTTCATTATAAGGTCTGGTGGGTGTGTAGGGGACGGTTCCAGACATAACTAGATCACCCAAATGCTATTTGAGAAGCTGCTGTGGTCTGCCGGAATCCGTTCGGGGCCTTGGCCTCTTCCGGATCTGGGTTTTGAAATCCTCCATATGGCTTTTTTTTTTTTGTAGAAGCTCAAAATGGCGGCTGGAGCTCTCTTCTCGGGAGAAACAGTTAATGGCGGCCACAGCGTGCTGCGGTGCCTTGAGCCAGAAGGAGTTGGCGCTAGAGGGGTGGGAGTGGATGCCTTCAAGTCGACCCATGCTGGGGTCTTGGAAGCAGAAAACCAAGCATTATTGAACATCTTGCTTCTTTGCGGTTTCCAAGATACCGATTTGGGGCCTTCAAAGAGACATTGGTTTTTCCAGAAACACGCTGCGCTCGAAACTTCCTGGCTTTTTCTTTGCCTTTATTAATGCACGGCTTTCTGCTAAGGGTTCTTTCTTTAATAATAATAATAATAAAATCTTCCAATAAAGTGAGTTTGGCCCTTTTCTCTCTGCTAATTTGCATTGAGTAAAAGATGGGACTCACCTCTACTTTGGGAGGCACCTTGGTTTCCATTTTCCTTCCTCTGATCATCACCCGGTTGATGGCAGTGCTGCCTTGATTGCCTTGTAGATGCTTCCCCCCCCCCACACACACACACACAGTATATTAACTTGAAAGCATTTCGTGGCTTTTTAGTTTGGAACCTGGCTTTGTTGCTGGAGATGTGCCACTATTTGACTTTAAAAAAAAAAAGAGAGTCTGTTTGACATTTCATGGTGAATTTACTGGAGGTGGAGAGTATTAAAGCGGTCTCCCTAGAGAAAGTTGGCGGCCCAATACAGAGAAGGAGAGAGAGAAATTTGCCTCTCTTTAGGCTCCCCAGCTGGCTAGATAGCTCAGTGGTTTAGGTATCGAGTTGCGGGGCCAGAGTTTGGAGTTCGATTCTCCACTGTGCCGCCAAGAGAGAAGAGGCAGCCTGGGTGGCCTTGATCAAGCTGCACGGTCCCAGGGCATCCCTGGGAGAAGGGCATGGGAAACCACTTTTGAGTATTCTCTACCTTGAAAAACCATGGAAAGAGGGTCACCCTCAGTCAGAATTTGGTCTAGGTGGGCAGAGTAGAAATCTAATAAAAAAAATAAATGAATAAAAGAATCCGCCAAGAGAGAAGAGGCAGCCTGGGTGGCCTTGATCAAGCTGCACGGTCCCAGGGCATCCCTGGGAGAAGGGCATGGGAAACCACTTTTGAGTATTCTCTACCTTGAAAAACCATGGAAAGAGGGTCACCCTCAGTCAGAATTTGGTCTAGGTGGGCAGAGTAGAAATCTAATAAAATAAATAAATGAATAAAAGAACTGACTTGATGGCACATGACATATCTACTGTGGGTCCTGATAGCAATTTTTTAGAGTACCGTATTTTTAATTGTATTTTAACAGTTTTATCTTTTCATTGCATTCAAATGGTTGTAAGCCGCCCAGAGACCTTTGGGTAGCGTGGGCGGCATATAAGTTAAATAAATAAACAAATATGAATACAGTGGTGCCTCGCTTAACGAGCGCACCGTACAACGCCGAATCCGCATAGCGATCCCCTTTTCGGGATCGCTAATGCGGAGGCATACCGATCGTTCCAATGGGCAAAACTTGCATAGCAATGATCGGTAAGCGATGCCCGCGGATCAGCTGTTCGGCGGTTCTAAAATGGCTGCCAGACGCCCGAAATGGCCGCGCACAGCGTTTTCGTGCCCTCCCCTCGCTTACCGAGGGCGCGAAAATGGCTGCCACTATGGAGGAAACTTCGCTGAACGGTAAGTTTAGGGCCCATTGGAACGCATTAAACGATGTTCCGTTTAGCGATGTTTTCACATAGCGAGGGTTAATCCGGAACGGATTAACCTTGCTATGCGAGGCAGCACTGTATATATAAATGACTTGATTTCCCAATGTTATTGGATTCATGCCACCTACTCACTCCCAAAAGCACAGAGGTTCATCCATACGAAAGCTTCCATCACATTTAGTTCACCCTGTTCCTTTCCTTTCAGGCATCTGTCCCCATCTATCCTTCCTTCATATCTTTGCTTTTATCTCTCTACTTGTTTTATACCTCCGTGCCTTAGTTGCCTTGCCTCGTCTTGTTGTCCTAGATCCCTTTCTGGGTTGGCCACATGCTGCTCAATGTTCCCTTCCTCATTAACAACACACACTCATGAGCAAAGACATCACGTTGGGCTTTGTGTGAGAGTTGTGTCCTCTGCTTTGCGCGGTGTGAGGAATGACTCTTCCCTTCCGAAGTCAAAGCGCTTGTGAAAACACACCTGTCTTATGTGGCTGACGGGGAGGGAGAGAGAGATGAGAACCAGATATTTTGGCTCAGAAAAATATATCTGATAAGTATTCCAGTTTCTGGAATTCCAGTTTCCCTTTGGAATACAACTCCCCAACACAGCGGCTTGGGGGACTGTGGGAGATGTAGTTGAAAAACCACAAATTTGGCAGAGTCTGCTGTATGTACACTCTAGACCAGTAGTTCCCAAACTTGGGTCCCCAGATATTCTTGGACTACAATTCCCAGAAATCCTGGCCAGCCAAGCTAGCGGTGAAGGCTTCTGGGAGTTTTAGTCCGAGAACAACAGGGAATCTAAGATTGGGAACTATTGCTCTAGGCTGTGGCAGAGGCCTTGATTTTTTAGGTTAAATTAGGCATCCTTCAGTCTCGAGAGACTATGGTATCGTGCTGTTTACGGAGGGTGTGGAACAGCGTCTGGTGTGGCTGAGAAGGCCAGTTTGAGAGCGACCACCCCTTTCACACAGCCATCTTCGTGGTTTCTGGAAAGTCCACGGGAGGAACAAAGTGGGCCTGACTGGTTCCTAGTGATGATGGAGGATGATACTCTGAGGCTACAGGATAGTTGTCTGCCTCCTGTCCTTTTCTTAAGATGCCCAGTTTCATCAGAAGCCCTGCAGGCTGTGCAGGGGCACCCCCAGAAACCCAGATCTGGGTTGATGTCCTGACTGCAGAAATGGTTTCTTGGTCCAGAAGGATGTGTACTCTGGTCTGGATGACAAAAATGACAGGTTTTTTTAACAATATAAGCCCATTTTTTTTCCTGACCATCCTCAGTTCTGGCACCTGTTTTGTTCACTGAGGGGTGTACATGTGCCAGCAAAGTGGGGCATATGGTGTGAGGTAACGTGAATTGTTTTGACTCCTATGTTTGCTAGTGGACAGTATGAGGAGGGGAGGTTTCTCAAAGAAACGGAAAACGCCTGTTTGTCCAAGAAACGAACTGACACGAACTGTCAAATCAGCAGTTCGCACCCATCTCTAGTCCAAGAAACGAACTGACACGAACTGTCAGTTCGCGCCCATCTCTAGTTTTGATTTATATACTGTCCCATAGTGCTAGATCCCCCTTTGGGCTGTTTACAACATAATTCATTCTAGGAACACTCTACATATATTTTCCATGCAAAATATATGTTGGCATGGAACATGTATTTCCATGCAAAATATATGTTTGCATGGAACCTATATTTCCATGTAAAATATATGTTGGCATGGAAAATAATGTACAGTGGTGCCCCGCATAGCGACGATAATCCGTGCAGCCAAAACCGTCGCTATACGGATTTGTCGCTATGCGAAATAAAAAAGCCCATAGGAATGCATTAAAACCCGTTTAATGCGTTCCTATGGGCAAAAAAATTACCTTTATGCAAAAATCCTCCATACAGCCGCCATTTTCGCTGCCCGGTAAGCGAGGAAAGGGCGTGAAAACACAGCGGGCAGCCATTTTTTTTACCCGGCGGCCATTTTGGAACTGCCAATCAGCTGTCGGGAAAGCATCGTTATGCGAAAATCGGTAAGCAAAACAGCTTACCGATCATCGCAAAGCGATATTTTCCATTAGAAACATTGTTATGCGATCGCAAAAACGACTCAAAAAATCCATCGCTATGCGGATTCGACGTTAAATGAGGCGCCCGTTAAGCGAGGCACCACTGTATTTGTTTTAAAACATGTTATGTCATGCCATATACCTTGGTCCTTCTTTTAATACTGGAAGAGTAATTGACAAGTCAGATTCTCAACAGGAAAGGATAAATCTGTTCTGGAGGACCACCCACACCATCTCTTAGTATGGTATGGAAATAGGCAGGCAGGGTCAGTGAGCAGTGTGTATTCTGTGTTGTTTGCACCCAAGTGTTTTGTGCAAGCAGAAAACTGCCATTGCATAGAACCCATACTTAATTATTTTTCATGTGAATGTCCTTGGGAAGTATGTGTATTAAATTTGGCAACTATGGTCTTACTTGAGGACATCGGATAGCCATAGTAGGGTGGTTAATTAAACCGGGAAGGGTCTTAAGTGTTTTCAAAGTCAGCTCTCCCTTCCCACTCCCAAGAACTCCCGCATCACTACTGCGTGCCAGACACAGGAGGCAGCTGTGTGTTGTGGTTATCTCGACACTATACTTTTCCACATTCCCAGAATATTTCCCTAAAGAGTTTTCTCCTTTCCTCATACCAAAATCTGGGGTCCTCTGATGACACTGAAGGACGGGAACTTCAGGCCTGACAAAAGGAAGTCCGTCCCACAAGAGGTATGCTGGACTAGATAGCGATCCTAGGTTTGCATCTCAGCTGTTGATACTGTGTTATTGGCAGGTAGACTGCTCTTGATCTGTATTTGGATCTGGGCCGCAGTACAAAAGATGATGATCCGAACCTTTCCTCTGTGATGCATTTTTCGTTCAGTTTTTGCCCTAGACTCCAGAAGCTGTTGTTAGGAAGAGACGTACAGTGGTGCCCCGCATAGTGACGTTAATCCATTCCAGGAAAAACGTCGCTATCCGGAAACATCGCTAAACGGAATGGAAAACCCCATAGGAACGCATTAAACTCAGTTTAATGCGTTCCTATGGGGGGTAAACTCACCGCTAAGCGGGAATCCTCCATAGGGCCACCATTTTCGCCGTCTCGGTAAGCGAGGAATCGGCGCGAAAACGCTGCGGGCGGCCATTTTCTTCTTCCGGCAGCCATTTAGGAACCGCCGATCAGCTGTTTCCCAAACATCGCAATGTGAAGATCGGTAAGCGAAACGCTTACCGATCATCGCAATGCGATGTTTTGCCTATTAAAACATCGCAATGCGATCGTAAAAACGATCGCAAAATCTGCATCGCTATGCGGATGCGTCATGAAACGGTGCGCTCGTTAAGCGAGGCACCACTGTACAGACATAAGATGGCGCCCAGGTAGTTTGTAGTCTCTTAGCTGCAGATCAGATTTGAGGAATTGATAATGTGCCTCTTCTCCAGTGTCACAGCCTGAATCTACATTGGGATCCCCCACCCACCCTGGCTTTCTTCTGTGGCTGCCTCTGGAAACAAAAAGTGATACTGTAAACTCCAATTGTGTAAGATCTCACTGTATGTTAGTAATGTTGAATGGAGTTTACACTGAGCTTAAGCCTAAATGCCTACTTGCCAAGGCTAGGAAACCTTTGTATCTCCAGGTGTTGCATCCTACGGCACCCATCATCCCCACTCACCATGGCCACCAGAGTAATGGACCGTAACAAAGCCCACCTCTTGGGGGCCAGCACATCTCCCACGAGGTGGCGGACTACATGTTCCTGACACCCCCAACCTAGCATGGTGAATGGGGATGATAGGAGTTGTAGTCCAGAATACCTAGAGGGCACTAGGTTGGGGAAGTCTTAGCCAGTTGGTGACAGGAAGATACGTTTGGGCTTGGCTTGTGGCCGGTTTCAGTGTGCTGCTCTCTGCTTTCCTGGATCCTGACCGCAAGAGTGGCCTTAGGCAAGTAACGAAGTCCCTATTTCATGTTTTTCTTTTGCCTGTCTAACAAAGCATCTTCTAATTCACCTTCCCTTTCTTCCCTCTGCCCATTGTCCTGTAATTAAAAGAGTTTGATGAAGGGACCGGTATTCATTGTCCGCCTATAATGGGACCTCTGCCTGAGCCCAGGGCCGTCAGGCACTGCTGTAATATGAGAAGGAAGGATGAGAGCCTGCTTTTAAAATGCTCGCCTTGTTTCTCGTTCTAAATGGAGCACCGCGTTCCCATGCTGCAGGCGGGGCGTTTCGTTTGGGGGCAGATCTGCAAAAAATTCATAGTAGAAGATGGGGACGCCAGGAGCTGGGTTGGCTTTGTTTGGGCCTTCTCACCTGCAGGCATGCTGTAAGCTCTGCCTGTGATGTTGAAATTACATTCTGTGAACATTTTACACTGTTAGGATAACCATCAAAGTGGCCGTAGAAAGAAAGGGTGGAATAGTTCCTTCTATACCACATGGTTCTGAATGGCAGTTCCATGTTCGCTTCTACGTGTGCGTGGTTATGTGAATAGCTGGCTAGATTGTAATTTTCTCCTTGCACTGCAGATTAAAAGCAGAATGATCTGGTTTTCCTTCACACCCTGGCTGAAATCCTGTTGTGCAGCTCCGCCTGCACAATGGAAATGATGTCTTTCCGACAACAAATTACTGCCGATGAAAGGCTTCCTTTTGTGATTTCAGGGTGCTTGTATACAAAGCAATAAAGCTGTGTGTATTTTCATCCACAATAATTTCTTCCACAAAACTTTCATCCACAATAATTTGCCACTTGTGTTCTCCATCATATGCATTTTGTAGCATGTGCTGCCTAACCATTGGCTACCTAAACTCCCCTGTGACATTTGGGGGGGGGCAGGATTGAATGTGGCGCCTTCTGCATGCAAACGATACGCTTTCAACAGAGCTATAGCCCTGCCCCACATCTTTGAGACTGCATTAATTGGAATCAGTGCCTCGCACCTTCTCCTCTGTGGCAGGTAGAGAAGAATCGCTTTTTCTGGGAAGTTGGAGCAGTTTTCTTTAATCTCCGATCATCTGTCAAACCAGGGAGGCTTGTAAGCAAGTTGAAAAAAATGTTGCCCTTCTTCTTGTCTTTCCTTGCCTCTTCAAGGAGTGGCTCGGGACTCCCAAATTGGTAGGTAATTTTTTTGCAGAAGGTTCTCCGGCAGAGTCCCAAAGTCTTGTCTGATGCAAGGAAGGGAGGCAGTCAAATGTCACGCCCTCTGCGCTGAGTGATGCCTCCCTGCATCTGGGTAAACATCACCTACCTCGGCGGTGCGGCTGAAAGGCGGGAGCACCAGCAGGTTGAGGCCTATTTTGCATGCGCTGGGGTTGGGACGCATGCCAGGTGGGTGGGGAAAGGCCTACCTAGGATGGTGTTGCCTCTTCCCTGTCTTTCTCCTTGCTGGGGGTGGTGGGGAGGGAGAGAAGATTGAGGAAGGAATGTAGATCAGGTCTGCCTGATGAATCCATAGCGTTATGCACCAGTCAAGAGAATGTAGATCAGGTCTGCCTGATGAATCCAAAGTGTCAAGAGGCTTTATAATTTATTTAAAATATTTTTACCATGCCTTTCTTAAAAGGACCAAAGTTGTATATCAGCACATCACAAAGAGGCAGCAAGTTGGGGAAAGCATGAAGTAACAGAACTACAACATGAAGGTTTTACTGGATTGTTTGTTTTTTACATCTCTCCTATGGTTTCTGGGAGTGACCGTCTGAAAAAGGAACTTCCCCAAGGACTCAATGGGGACTGCGACAGGGATGTTCAGAGTCTTGTTTTGGAAGACTCTTTTTTGGACTGTTGGAACAAGAAAGATCTCCTTTGGTGGAAGATATTAGGGCTTTGGTGCTACCGTACTTTTGGGGGTCACTATACTAGGGAGCTCTTGAGAGTCCCCTGGACTGCAAACCTATCTATTTTGAAGGAAATCAACCCTGAGTGCTATTGGAGGGACAGATC